CATAAACTAAAAACAGGTTTGTCTGACTTCCTGCTTTCCCAATTTTTCTAGAAATGCGGTCATTATCTTTCACTGAGGTTGGCTCAACTAGATAATTGATATGTATAGACTTCTAAGCCTAGTTCCAGATTACATGCACTTGGAAAGTTTAACTAGAAGTAACTTAATATTGATTAATCTGTTCTGTGCTACTGTTGCTACAAGAATATTCAATTGACTCAGTTTTCCTTCTCTTAGGATTTTGCTGACAACAGTAGAGCTTAAATGCTTTGCTCAGCAACAACAAATTTTTCCAGCCATAGCTATATAAGATATATTGATATTTCTGAATTCTCCTTTAAAGAGTAAGTCTGTAGAAAATTGAGCTACACAAACACTATAGCAGAGCTAAGACTTCAAATATAAATACATATATATATGTATATATATATATAAAATGAGACTGGTATTTGATATTTCACTTGCCACAGAATTATAGAACTTTAGAAGTCAAAGTGTCACCATAAATTAGCTCAAACTCAAAACAATCCCAGAGAATTTGCAAAGCACTTGGGTTGGAATACAGGTCTTACACACGTAAATGGTGTCCACCTAGGAGGTTGAGAGAAATGTCTGAATGTGTGAAAATTCAGGATGAATTTAAGTTCATTTTTTTTTTTTTTTAGTACTTATAAAATGCCTTCCATGAGTCAGATGTTGTTTCAGGCACTGGAAGCCCAGTGGTGAAGAAAATAGGTAAAGTCCCTGCCCTTGTGCAGCTTATTCTTTAGTGGCAGGGAAAACAACGCGAAAGTCAGAGAATAAATAAATAAAAATACATTTCAGGTTTTGATAAGTACAATGATGAAGAAGAGGGCTGAAGACTGAGGTGTATACGTGTGTGTGTGGAATACATTATGGAAGACCCACCCAGAGGATATGACATGTACCTGAGACCTCTGTGAAAAAATAATATTTGAGATTTGAATAATAACAACAAGCACGCTATGTGAAAATCTGGTATTAGAGTGTTTCAGAAAATGCAAAGGCCCTGAGGTCTGTAAAAGTTTCGAAAG